AAAATTCAAGTGCCTGAAACCAGTTACACCAGAATCTCTAGAAGTGAGACGTAGCCATCAGCAGTTCTTCATGTTCCTCAAATGATGCCCCGTGTGCTGCTCAGGGTGAAAACCACTCTGCGGAAATGTTTGGTTCCATGCTGTGGGTTTCCTCTCCTCCTCAGGATTCCTTATTGTGAGTTTTAAATGGAATAATGTGTGTAAAAGGCCTAACCTGTGCTTAGCACACGCCTTGCTTGTGGTTAGAGTTTAGTAAATGCAGATACAATATTGTGATTGCTATTTAATCACTCTGATGAAGAACATACGACACTGAAACAAATGTGAAGAAATAAGCAGATGTTCTGTTGCTCAGATCTGGGCTTGAAATACTTACTTTGGCTCATTGATTAAATTGTGCATTTTTCTCAAGCTTACTTTATAAAGATTTGAATGAAGCACCTAGAAAGGCATAACCAGAATAAGACTGAAAGTAGAGTAAAAATACCCAAGTAGTCATGGTCTGGGACTGATGGAGAGAAAAACAGTTTTATCAGAAAACCTGGGTTATAAGCTAATTCCTAAATTATAATTTGCATTTTTGTCACTGAGACATATATGCACTGTCATTTTTATCTCATGAAGCCTGGGTCCCAGTCATTCTAGACCTAGCAGTGTAAAACAGCTCCTTTACTCACAAGTTCATCAGATGGAAACTGTGGTCTAAATTCCTCAGTGGACAGCTACAACAGTGATGATAAAAATCTTGCTGGCTACCTTGGAATTTGAGTTCCACACTGGGTTTAATTAGTGACTGAATTTGCATTGCCAGGCCCTATTGATGAGATGGGTTCAGGTTGGCATCTACAGGACTCAGAACTCTTTGTTAAGCCACTGAGTTAGGAGAGTTCACATCCAGCAGATTTTAGAAATTTGGATGTAGATATATTTCAGAAATTTACAGTTCCCTATAGTGAAACAATGAGGGATCAAAAAAGGGAATTTTAAACCAAAGATCAAACTGAGGAAGTTTTGAAGACTACATGGTTAAATGAATTGTTGTAGGCAAATTTTCCTTTAAGATTTTTGGTCTGTTGCATAGCTAGTGTGGTTATACATATTCTGCCAGGTTTCATGGAAAGTATATCACTATTCTTACAAAAATCTTTTGCATTTTTAAAGGTAGGAAACTTTTTCTGTCTAGCAAAATTCCAACAAAAATAACTTTATAGAAAATAATTTCTGAAAAATTATGGGTATATGGAGGCTTATAAAGTGAACAGTGATATGATATGCCACATAACCTAAGAAAAATAAAGGATTCCTGTGTGAATTCCTGCTGTGTGAATTCCTGCTGGGTGAAATTGCTGATTTAATGCAGTGGAATATTTTTTAGTTTTAAGGACTCAATCTCAAAGAACAAGAAATGTATATCCTGGTAAGTGGCACCACAGGAGCTAAAATCTTACACCGACTTGAAGACTAACCTTATGGGTCAAGGCAAATGTTAGAAGGCTATAATTACCAACAGAGGTAAACAGTTCAACCAGAACCATTCTGTCTTAAAGTAATAATTTCACAGTCAAGGAGTACCAAACTACTTGCTTATTAAAATCCAGTGTATGGACTTTTGAAGTGAGTTAGGCTATTAGCACTTAATTTATTTGGCATTGCCCTGGAGTCAGGGATTGCTGGGTAATTATCTTCTAATAACAGAAACCTATTATAAGGTTTCTAATTTTATCTTAACCATTTTAATGGAAATATTTCTTAAATGATCATGTACTTTCTTGGAGGATGAGAGTGGGGGTTAGGCATATGGAAGTAATAGAGAACAAAACCAGAAATTTGGAAGTCTGTATTCTGGTTCTCTTGATGTCATTAACTTGAGAAAAATCAACCTTGGCTGTCACTCAAAGCCTAGAGACCTCATTTTTTTCTCATTTCAAAAATGAGCTTGCCAGCCTTGCCGCTTAGTTGTTGTCTAATTGAACGTTTGTGTAAGTTAATTGAGGTGTCTAAGGCAGGTTGTACCTGCACCAAACTTATAAAATTTGTTTATTGTAGTCTCCCTTGCCAGTTTTCCTTTTGTTGACATATCTGTGAAATCTTCACCAAGGCCAATGGCATGAAGCTTTTCCCCTGTTTTTTGCTAGGAGCCTTACGTTTAAGTCTTACTCATTTTGAGTTGGTTTTTGTGTGTGGTGAAAGATAAGGATTTCTTTCTTTTTCATTTGGCTATCCAGTTTTCCCAACACCATTAGTTGAAGAGACTATCCTTTCGTCATTGTCTACTTTTGGTGCCCTTGTTGAAGGTCACTTGACTATATATGTGTGGCATTACTTCTAATCTTTGTTTTTTGTTAATTGTTCTGTATATTCTACATAGTACCTGAAATCCTAGTCAGAGCAATTAGGCAAGAAAAAGAAATGAAAGCATGCAAATTGCAAAGGTAGAAATAAAATTGTCCCTTTTTGCAAATGACATGATCTTATATATAGAAAACACTGAAGACCTATTTTTAAAAACTCCTGGAGCTAATAAACAAATTCAGTAAAGTTGCAGGATACAAAGTCAATACACAAAAAATCAGTTGTATTTTACGTACTAAATGAACAATCTGAAAAGGACATTAAGAAAACAAATCCCACTTACGACTTTTATTCAAAAAGAATAAAAGACTTCAGCATAAATTTAAGGAAGTGAAAGACGTGTACACTGAAAACTACAAAATATTGATGAGAGAAATTAAAGAAGACACAAGCAAGTAGATACTTTTATTCATGGGTTGGAAGACTTAATATTAAGATGTCCATACTACCCAAGGCAATCTTCAGATTCAGTGTAATCCCCGTCGAAATTCCAATGGCATTTCTTACAGATACAGAAAACACAGTTCTAAAATTCATAGGAACCACGAAAGACCTTGAGTAGCCAAAGTAGTCTTGAAAAAGAACAGAGCTTGGGAAGCATCACACTTTGTGATTTCAGAATTGATCACAAAGGCGCAGTAATTAAAACAGTTTGGTACTGGCATAGAGAGAGATGCCCTTTTTATTTTGGAACAGTTCTAGGTTTACGGGAAAGTAGCAGATATAGTACAGAGCCCTCCTCATGTGCCACTCAGCCAGTTTTCCCTAATGTCAGCATCTTATGTTACCCGGGCACGTTTGTCAAAGTTGAGAAACCAACACTGGTGTATTATGTTAACTAACCCGCAGACTTTATTTAGATATCACCAGTTTTTCACTAATGGTCTTAGTTGCAGGATGCAGTCCCCAGTACCACACATCACATCTAGTCTGGGTCCGTTTTGAATAGTTGGCTGTCTTCCCATTATTCCCAATATTTCTGTGCTGTCAGCGGAGCCTCAATACTGTTGCCTTTGTTTTTTCTGTAGAAGGTTTTTATCTCTTCACATTTGTACATCTGAGCAAACCTGCACCTGAGCGAAGATAATCACACTTGTTGGAAATATGTGGAAAAGAAGAATAAATAGTTTCTGATTTTATAAGATTCTTTGGTGATTAATTTGTTTCAATTTGGGCCTGTAGGTACCAAACTGTTTTGGTCATTTACCTTCAGGAAATTAATGCCATGGCTCCCAGTGTATTCTTGGTGTTTGAGGTTAGCAGATCACTGAGCGCTCTGGTTTGTGATGTGTTGCTGTCCGTGTCCCCCCACTCATAACATCTTGCAAAACTATAGCATCATGACCAGAATATGAGTCAAGATACAGAACATTTCCATCACCCAAAGACCCCTCTGTTGGCCTTTTATAAGTAAACCCTTTTCCCTCCTGCCCCTGACACCTTCTTTTGGTGATGAGTGATTTTTTTTTTATTAAAACCTGGATATTTTTTGGTATTTCTGGGTTCTGAATCTTATTAAACCTTCTGTTTTAGCCACCTTCTTTTGACACCACTCTGACAGAAGTGCCTGTTGCACTTGGTCACTGCCAGGAGGGTGCAGAAGGCAGGGTTCCCCACTAGGCCTCCACTCATACCTCCCTGGGATTGGAAGGGGGTTCCAGGCTGCCGAAGCATCTCCACAGACTCTATTGGGGGATGGGTGGGTTAGATCCTTTTTAACAGCCTGGCATGAGTAGGATGGAACCACAGTTTAGTCTTGGTGTTTGGCTGAATGAAATAGACCAATTAGTGTCTGAAAGTTTTCTGTCTTGCTATGCGGTCCCTTACTGATTCTTTGGATAGAGAGCAGACTTTTTGTTGGGAGTTTTTTTCATCTGTGCTTGTTAGCATGTCCGGGTTGTGGGCGTCTTTAGCCCCAAATTCGTGATCTATGAGGCGAGAAGAAGGCCAGGACGCTCAGTGCTGGGACTTGCCTTCAGGGCTGGGGCCCTATCCACTTTGCCTTTCTTCTCTTCACCTTTTTGTTTCCTATGTTTTATATATGTAATGTCCAGGGGTTTTAGTTGTACTTAGCTGGAAGAATTAGAAAAATACTTTATTCTGTTGTTTTGGAATTAGAAGTCTACTTCATATCCACTTTTGCAGTATAGTTTTCTCAACAGCAGTTATCTTCCTATTATAATTTGCTTATTACATTATAAAACTAATTATTTTCTCAGGAATGTACCACCCGGTGAACATGTAAATGTTCTGTATTTTTTCATTAAATCAGGTAATTGAGTTTATTACGTAATGTGAGCATTATTTATATAAAAATAATAGTTTTGAAAATGCTGTTAGCGACTTCAGTGTCTTTTAATTCTAGCAACGGCACTGCAACATTCAGAGAAATGATACCTGGATTTTTAGTGGATGTGTAGCAGGGATTTTTCTCTAGAAAATCATTTAGTTAATCTATTTCACAGATTTCTTCGAAAGAAAGTATTAATAGCTATGATTAATGAATTTCTGCCACAAGCCAAAAGAGACATGTATTTGCTAATGTGGTATTTTTAGCTAAGAAAAACTTGTTGTTTTTTTAAAGATTTTTTTTAAGATGTCCATTTGGAGATTCTGTATGTATTTTTTCTTCCTTCTCCCTTCCACAGCTTTCCTTCCATAAGAGACTAATGCTTTTAATCTTTGTATGACTGATGAAGATATGCCATATCTGGTGGGTACTAATATTATAATACTTTTCCTTTTTATTAATCTGTTGAAAATTAAAGGGTGGAGATTTGATAAATTAACTGTTTGCAGTTGTTTATAGCAAATTGAAACAGTGTTTAAACCACTCTGCTAAGCTCATTTCAGTAGTTGGAGTCCCTTGTTTGAACATCAATTTCAAGCTCAGTTCTGTTTCTCTCATATTGTAGCAGATGGTTTTAGTTACAGATAATTCATGATATTTCAACGAAGTGCACATCCCCTTTAGCAAGAGATCTATTTCACTTTAATTAAAATAATACTAAACATTACTGCGTTTTGCTTAAGAGAGCAAATATTTGGAAAAGTTCATCCTCAGTTTTTGTGCATCTTGTACAGTGATATCTTCAGTCTTGTGAAGGCAGGGCTTTGTGTTTGCAGTTCTTCTTAGTGTTCCCTCTCCTGTCCACTTTCAGTGAGGATTGAATTCATCCTTGCCTTGGATTTATCATATAACTCTGGATTGGTCACCTAAGGGGTTTAATTTCAAATTCATGCCATCTTTGTCTCTGCCTCTCAGTTTTATTTTCCATTTATGGGCATTATTTTAAAATTTCTTTACGTTGCTCAAACAGCAGATATGATCCAACCACTTCATCTACCTAAAATTAAATTGAAAATCAGTAAGGAAAAAGAATTTCTGTGCAGCCATATTGGGCACACAAGCTCATGTTCTTTACTTAAGCCTTGCAGATGTCCACCTTTATTGATGATGAGAGAAATGTACAGCTTCAAGTAGGGTGTGTTATTTTTCACTTCTTAAATTATAAAGAATTTAGGGGGCGCCTGGGTGACTCAGTCCGTTAAGCGTTTGCCTTCGGCTCCGGTCATGATCCCAGGGTCCTGGGATCGAGCCCCGCATCGGGCTCCCTGCTCCGCGGGAAGCCTGCTTCTCCCTCTCCCTCTCCCTCTCCCCCTGCTTGTGTTCCCTCTGTCGCTGTGTCTCTCTGTCAAATAAATAAATAAAATCTTAAAATTATAAAGAATTTAAATAATGGTAATACCAGTGTTAAAAACAATGTCACCATTTGAAAACTCTCATACCTTTTAAATTTGTACTAACCATAGGAAAAACAACTTGATAATATGTATCCGGAATCATAAAATTGTCTGTGTCTTTTAGTAAATTCTTCTAAAGTAGAGCTAGGTGTAAGGAAATAATCTGAAATGTAGAGAACAGCACTTGTGAGGGATTATTTGGCAATATTAGAATTGTATTTATACCACGATTATTTCAACATGCCTCTAACAAAAAATTATGACATGAATAGATACAGAATTCTTCAAATGTGTTGGAGTGGAGTTTTTGTGTGATAGTATAAATTCAAAGAGCAGCACTAATTGTGTCTCTATATGTGGCGCACGCGCAGAGAAGACAGGAGGCCACGGTGTTTTCTGTTTTGATCGTTATCATTAGGAAATGGAATGGTGGGTTCCTTTTCGTTTTATTTCTTTGGATTTCCAAATATCCTAGGGGGAGAAGAGGAGTACGTGTTTGTTGTTTTTTTTTTTTTAATCTGTTTTTCTTGATTCTTTTTCTTTCTCTTTTTCTCTTAACCGGAAGCATACATGTGAATGTCAGTAGCTTGGCAGCGCAGGAGAGGGCAGTGTCTCCTCTTGTCCGTCCTGAGGGCCTCCCTGAGCTGCCCCAGGAGCACCTGATCTGCCTAGGAGGAACCCAGACAGTTGTGTTTAAATGCTCTGCGGCATGTTCTTTCTCCCAGGTTCTGAATCTTTACGTGGATGGACCCTGAGCTGTTGAGAAATTGGGCTCATCGGACAACTTAGGCTCAGAGGCCCTAGGGAACTGAGGATGGACAGACTGAATGAAATCTCCGGCAAACTTTTCCACAGTGGGACTATTTGAGAATCCCTTGTAAGAAGGGAGGCAGAAGCAGTTGTGTTGCTGCGGAGGAGATGACAAAGCCTTGTAGTCACAGGGAAGAGGGACGTGTTTTGCCTCTTTAACACAGTGTGGCTCCTCTCTGTCCCACAGCTGGCCCTGAAGGACCCGGTGCACACGGTGTCGCTGCAGCAGTTTATCTACGAGAAGCTTAAGGCACAGCAGGAGCTCCTGGGAGAGCAAGGCTTCCAGTCCCTCATGGAGACGGTGGACACAGAGATCGTCACCCAGCTACAAGAGTTTTTGCAGGGCTTCTGAGAGCACATGACCTGTGGCTGCCTCCCCTTGAGGAGACAAGCCAAGGAACCCGGCCTGCTGTCTGTGTGTGAGAGCCTGCTGAGGCGATGAAGAAATCCCTCGTGTATTACAAAGACATGAAGACCATGCATTTTTACTACAAAATTGAGTGAATAAATGTACCTCCCACACAACTAAAATCACAAACCTATTCCTCAAAAGAATTTAATTTTCTATTTCAGAGGGGCCCTGTGTTTACTAGATATAGATTTGATGACACTAGCTGCTTAGTTTTCTGTTAAGAGAGAGGAAACCGTGTGATTACCTTTTAATCATGTGCTCTTAACACTTGAGAAGATGAAGGTTAATGTCTGCGATGTCTTTCTGCAACCAGAATTAATACTAATTTGGCTGCTTTATCCCTTTTTTAAGCTAATGAAACCGCAAGTTTGAAAGATGACAAAGCTGTTCAGATGATGCGATTGAAGAAATGTGTGCACCAGGCAAAAATATATAAATAGTGACAAATATATATTACTGAGGTTATCTTGCAAGGGAGTTGCTTTCATCTGACCTAGAAAATATGTTTTATCAAATGCTTTTATTTCCATTTTACTAATTTGATACAAAAAATTAGTAAAGGGATTTTTTTCTCGTTTTATTTTCAGTAATACATTTAGTCTTTAAATGCGTATCGTAAGGCCCGCGGAAGGGAACCTGTGGTACTGCGGCTTCGGGTGGGAGACCTCTGGTCGTGATTTGGCCCCAGCTCCTTTATTACTCTTGAAGGCCAGGAGCGCTGTGAGCCCCGAGAAGCCCCAGGCAGCCCGCAGACCCCCCTGTGCTATGACGTGGCTGTGACAGGCCGCTCCGCACTTACCCATCCCAGGCTCCTCACCGCAGGGGTGCATCGGGCCCGCAGTATTAATGGGTGCACCTCGGAGGACCCAGCAGCAGTCCCCAGGGTGCCAACACTCATGTGACAAGTCTTCCTTCCTTATTCCTCCAACACGCAGTACCAAAAGAGGGGAAAAAGGAGAAAATAAAGCCTTACTTTGTTTTACTTGCCATTTATTATAAGGAACCTTTAAAGCATTTTTAAGGAAATACTCAAAAGCAGGGTTGGAAAATGATCTTTCTATAGAAAGTTGGGTACAGTATGTGACTGCAGGAAACCCACTGCCCCTTTGTAAGCTCTGGAACCCAAAATGTATGGAAATACTTGGTGTTTTCAGCAAGAGAAAGAAAATACGGTCCAAATTAAATTTTCCAAAGATACCTTTGATTTGTCTGATTATTTTTCCCGCTCCACGAAAAATGAGTTTGTAAAAATTGCCCCATGGTTGAAAGGGATGTTTTCTTTCCTACTCTGGGTGTTGGCTCTGCCCTGGTAGGTGGTGCTGTATGTAGCAAGTCCTCGTTATTCTTCTTTCAGTTCCTCTTTTTATTTAAAGACTTAAAAGTTTCTCTAATGTGATATTTCTTTATCGTTTTTATTCAGTCCTCAAGACTGATCTAAGAAGAAGAATTTCTTTTTGTTGATATAATTATTTTCATTTAGGGCGCTATTCCCAGCGTTACCAGAAATTCTCAAATGTGCTCCAGTTTTTCAGTTATAGTAAAATAACTCCTCTTTCCAGTTCCCGACAGATTTCATTATAGTGTTATAGCAAATATTACTGAAATAGCTATGTTGCAGAAACAGTAAAAAACTTACCTCAGGGAAAGAGTTTGGTTCATTTTTTTATACTGAAATGTTTAAAATAAGCTTTAAGTAGGAACATTAAGTAACATGACTTAAGTAAGGGACATTAAGTAGGAAGTGTTTAACACAGCTCAGAAAAAAATCATGTATCTTGAAATTTTAAGTGCTCAATTAGACATAAAATACAAATTTTGATTTATGGAATTCTGTTCATCAATGCAGCCTTATAGCAAACATTATTAAGTTTTGGACAAACGAGTTAACTCAGCCAGGCCTCTGGTTGAACTGTGGCTCCCGATACAAGGTAATGATCATTTCTATTCCATAAATACAGCTTCTTTTCTCTTTATCTTATGTTTCAGAGACTTCTCCATTCCTCTAACAAAGGCCCATGTGGCCAAAAAAAACCATTTTAAAGTTTTTATTACAAGTGGTCCCTTGTCCATCTGTCTCCCACCAGTCATTTTAGAGAAACCACATCATTGCATGTTATACACCCATGTTTATTGTTTCCCTTGAGAATCTTCACCTTAGATCTTTATTTTACCTACTCCTCTCTTCAACTTGTAATTGTTCAAGTTCCTGTTTTGTGCCATGGTGCTATGCTAAATTCTGGGATTAGAACAGGGTACTTACACCTTACGAAATTTTATAATTCAGTGGGAACACATACTTGCCAACACACTATTAAAAAATAGTGGTTCTGGGCGCCTGGGTGGCTCAGTTGGTTAAGAGACTGCCTTCGGCTCAGGTCATGATCCTGGAGTCCCTGGATCGAGTCCCGCATCGGGCTCCCTGCTCAGCGGGGGGTCTGCTTCTCCCTCTGCCCTCTTCCCTCTCGTGCTCTGTCTCTCATTCTCTCTCTCTCTCAAATAAATAAATAAAATCTTTAAAAAAAAAATAGTGGTTCTAATGGAAACGTATGTTCTGGAGCAACAGGAATGTGGGGGAAGGAGACCATATACAAGAGAGAATGTATAATTTGGTATGTATTTAAAAACTACCCTGAGACAGCATAGTTTGGCGAAGTGACGTAGAGGTCAGTGGCGTTATGCTGGAACTGGGACGCTCTGATTTCAGACTCAGCTACTTGAAATTACTCTGACCTACGGTATCGTCACTGAGGTTCTGGAAATGTTAGAGCTCAACAGCCTCACAACTATCCCTCGTTCCACAAATTAAAACATAAAGCTCACCTATTAAGGGTAGTGGTCTTCTGCTCTACTTCTACAAACCTTACAGATCCCACACGAACAGAAACTTAAAAGTTGTTGGAGAAGTGATAAAAGGAAGACAAGAGATACATGTCATGGAAAAAAAAAACTCTTCCCTCAACTTACAAAAACATTTTAGTCTATAGAAGCATTGAGAGAATAGTATAACGACCAACAGCCCTTTATCTGGATTCACAAAATTGTTTAATTTTAACACGTTCTCCATACATACGTATACACACACAAATATATATATACTTTTGCTGAATCTTATGAAAGTAAGTTATAGACACTCCACCCCCACATAGTCCAGCATACCTCTAAGAATGGCATTTCTCTGTATATCTACTAATACGTTAGAAGGTTCACGCAATAATATAAACAGTTCATACTCCAATTTTCCCCAATACCCCAAAGATGTCTTTTATATGCTGCCCATTAGTTTTATGATCCAGAATGCATTGAATGCGTACTCATTGCATTTGGCTGTTCAGTTTTTAAATCTAGAATAGTCCTTTTTACATGTCATTGGCTTTTTTGAAGAATCCCAAACAGTCGTCTGGTCGAATGTCATTTACGGCCCGGGGTTCTGATTATTTGCTCATAGTTGGGTGTGGTTAACATTGGTTGGCAATGAGACTGCATTGGTAACGTGGTACACCTGCCGTGGCATCACGTCTGGAGGCCCGCAATGTCTGCTTGTCTCTCTGGTCATACTGTAATGGTTAAGGTGGTGACAGCCAGGCCTCTCCTTGATAAGGATAAGTTTTCAAAGAGAACCTTAACAGTCCCAGAAATTTCCAGTCGTGGTTGTGTTTCTTTTGTTCTGTTTTGTTTTTACCCTAGAACTCTTTTTTTTTTTTTTTTTAAGATTTTATTTATTTATTTGACAGAAAGACACAGCGAGAGAAGGAACACAAGCAGGGGGAGTGGGAGAGCGAGAAGCAGGCTTCCCGCCGAGCAGGGAGCCCGATGCAGGGCTGGATCCCAGGACCCTGGGATCATGACCGGAGCCGAAGGCAGACGCTTAACGACTGAGCCAACCAGGTGCCCCTACCCTAGAACTCTTAACCGCTACCAGCTTGCCTTTTCATTCACAAAAAGTTCTGCAATTGTATTTTAACCTAGAGAGGTCTTGTGGCTGAGCTATGGAAAAGGTATACTGAACCTGGTGTGGGTTTCATCAACCTTTTCAAGTTCTGAAAATCCATTATTGCCTTGGCACACCTCTTAGCCAACATTTCTTTCCTCTTTTTTTCCTTTTTCTTCCCTCAGTCCCCCACCCCCTCATGTTTTTGAGGGGTATATAGATCTTGGTAAATACCAGTATAACCTGAACTCATACACCACTAAAAATGAAGAAACAAAGGGAGGTGCTGTCTTTCTGTTTCTCATTTGGGTTTGTAAGCCATTGGCCAAGAGGTAAAAATAGCTTTTATTATTTTTATCTATCTTTTCTTTAAAATGCTTTATCACATTTGGGCTGGACTTAAAAGGCAGAAACATGCCAGACTTTAGAGAGTTTTCATTTCATGTGGTTTAGGAAGAGAAGCAGTACATTATCAGCTGGCAAAACGGGGAGAGAAAAGAAAATAATCATTTCCTGAAATGTGCAGCTTTGATCT